GTTGTTTTCGCCAATTCCTTTTTGGTACTCTACTAGCTATGAGTAGCCGAGAGCTAACCCTCTGCACGTGGTAGTGGGATCAAAAAAGAACCAAAAAAAACAAAAAAACAAAAAGCATTTGCTAATCTCAATTGTAATTCTTGTGGGGAAAAGAAACGAATAATGTCTCTGTAATATTTTTATTTATCCCATGCCTCCTCCCTTCAGGGACTTGTAATTCCACCTTCCCCCTTTATTGATTTAGATGACCGTTGAGTTTTGCTTGTGGATTGAGTCCTTGTCATTGTTTTCTTTTCCTCCCTCTCTTTCTGAATCCAATGAAATTGAGTTGTAATGTAATATGTAGGTTGTTGAAACCCAGAATTGTCTGTAAAATATATGTGGTGTTGACTGTTGACGGTCTGATTGATCATGAAGCGAAGTGACCCGTTTCCTTGTCAATATCATTCCCATGAGAAGACTGAGTTGCCTATTGCTTTGGAAAAAGCCTGAAATTTGATGCTTTTCATTAGTTTTATATAGGTCCTCTATTTATATGTTATATACACTTTTAGATTTCATAACCATGTAAATAGAGATTCTATTGGAATTGTTGATTGAATGTTTAGGAAAAGTAAACTTCAGAAATAAGTAATAAATTTTAGGTTAGTTTCATTAGGTTTATCTTAATATCAGCCATTATAATTTTGCATGGTTGATCTATTCAATTCTTTTTTTGATTAGCTGTATTAGCTCTAGTTGAATTCTATGATCCTTTGACTAATTGTATCAAGATAATTGTAATGTCTAATATATTCTAAAATATTTTAAAAGTTCAATTTTGCTGTGTGAAATTTATTGAGCTACAAACCACGCGTGATGTATAGTAGTTATAATTGGACCTCTAAATTTTCCAATCTAAAAATTAGATCAAACTTTTCATGGTAAAAATTATTCCCTTAAACTGTCAACAAGTGAAATTGTACCCTCTAAATCCTACTTTTTTTAAAAATTGTATCTTATTGAAAATTTCAGCTTAATAGAACTTCACGTCTCCATCCATCAATGTCGTCGAACTGTGCATTTGGAATTATCAGCAGTCCTCCCAATACCATCACATTATCAGCAGTCCTCCCAATACCATCACACTCTTCTATTTCCCTTTCCAATCATAGAAATTGACCACCCCTTTTCACACTTGCTTCAAACGATAGGAAATAATTCTCAGGAAAATAAAGTTTTCCAGAAGAAAATCGCTGGAGGAAGCAAATCGCTGGAGGAACTGGGAATACTTAAATTCTATCAATTTTCCTGAAAAGTTGCTTGAAGATCAAACAGACAAAAGAAAAGTTCATCCAATGATATATTCTGATTGCTAAAAATTCTAGACAAAATCTGAAGTAACCTAAAAAAACATGCCAAGACTGAACAATTTTCTGAGAAAATCTCTTCAAACAACAAACAGAAGAAGACAATAGCTTCTAGTTCGTGATTCAAAAATGAAATTCAGGCTGCACTATGTTCATCGATTATATCAACAGATGCAATAGAAAACGGAGGATGTAAAATTAACATAAGATCACCTATTTCAAAGATCTTGAGCTCATTGTAATTTTTATGTCTCTAAGCCATTCATGGACTTTATTTTGTAAGAATTTTTCTTATAAAATTGTGAGCCAAAATTTGATTATCCACTCTTTTTGAAATCATAGATTTAGGCCATTAGATTAAGAAGGAATTTGAATTAAAGGTTGAAATTTAATTAACATAATAATAATAGTAATAATAATAATAATATATTAAAAAAAATTCCAATGGCTACTTTGAGAAAAATCATGATTTTATTTATTTATTTTAAATAAAACTGACACAGGTCAGTAACTATTCGATTATTTTTTTATTTTATTTTTTAAAACCACAACGGCAGCTTAATATATATATATATATAGTTTTTTTTTTCTTTTTGTTTTTTTTACTACTATATTATCCACTTCGTGTATTTTTTATTCCAATTTGTTTTATCCATAATTTATTTGTTTTGAGCTTCAATTTGAGTAATTCAAAAATGTTTGAATCTTTGTTTCGAGTTCTACGTGGACACCTCAAAATACTAAAATTATCAATAAAAAAATTTAAGTTTGTTATCATCAAAACGTTAATTAATTAATTAAAATAATTAATTTGAGATTAAGGAAAAAAAAAGCATAGAACAACCATGTTTTCTTTTATGCCCATCAATGAGGTTGGTGCATTAACAAAACACAATTTCACATTATCTTTTGTGGAACGCTTTACAACATTGATAAGTCTTGAAAGTATTTGTTTATGCAAGATCTGCACAACAGTACTTTTCTGAACCTAGCTCGAACCCGGTCTCCGGTCCGACCTGAATACTAGAGTGGACCTGCTCAAGAAAGTAAACACTCCGACGCTCAAGTCAGTATAGGCCGGATTCCCTATTTAGTTCGAGGTGAGATTCGATACCTGAGCGTGAAATGAAGCCCTCTATTTATAGGTGGTGGATCCGACAGTACACACGACCGGCGGTTATTTGTCTTTTCTCACATCGGACCTGTCGGGTTTCACGGTAGGTCAGACCCCGAGCAGGTCGTACCTCGGCTTTCATACTTAGCCTTTTCAATGATTGTAACCGGTCTTCTCGGCGGTTCGAGGTGGACCTGGTTCTCCAATTTTCCTTTAAGCGCCAATGGTTGTCCTCCACGTGTCCAGGGTATTTTTACACCCAAACATTGGCCCCCTCTCTGTCAGGTTTGATCTCGACCTGGCAGAGAAGTTCATTCGACTCCATTTCGGACACGTGGCGACTTTTTAATTCGTAGAGAGAATATGACCGTTGCGGAAGATATATCGATCTGCCAGGTCATCGGAGCATTCAAGTATTCAGTCGTTACGGATCTCGAGATGATCCTGACTGCTTGTTGATTACACGTGTACGGTGCAGTGATTTTCCGACGAGCTATAAATAGTCCCAAGACTTCAGGTCATACCTTACGTTTCCTAAATTCTCGGAGTTCGATTTGAAAGCAGCTCGAACCTTCGGTAGGTCAGTCTCTTTCCCTTTTTCACTTTCTTTTTCAAGTGTAGTTCCCATGTCTTTCTCCTTTAGCAGTGATAGCTTAGGATCTGATGAGGGCTTAGCTCGTAGTTTAGAGTCCGAGCTCGAAGAGATAGAGAACTTTAGGTTTTCTGATGACGGGGAGGATAGTGATGCTTCCACCTCGGGTCAGGGTTTGGAATACCCTTATAGGATACCCGAGCATTACCTCGGACCCCTTCGTAGGGGGTTTGCTATCCCAGAGAATATCTTCCTTAGGATTCCAGAGGAGGGGGAAAGAGCTGACAATCTTCCAGTCACTCTTTATCTCAAAATGTTTGAGTACGACCTCAGAATTCCTCTGCATCCTTTCGTTCAAAAGTTCTTGACAGAACTGGGCTGGCTCCGACTCAAGTGGCCCCCAATGAATGGGGTGTCATTTTTGCCTTGGCCATCCTTTTTTGGTTACGAGCTCGGGACAACGAAGAGGCTGAGCTATTGAATGTTGAGCAGCTCCTCGCATGCTTCGAAGCGAAGAGGATAGCCAAGAAGCCTGGTCGGTACTATATGTGCGCAAGGAAGGGCGCAGAAGGTATAGTTAAGGGGCCAACCTCCATCAAGGGATGGGTGAAGAAGTGGTTCTTTGCCTCTGGGGAATGGCTGGCAAAGGACGAGGCTGGTCGTCCCTTCTTTGATGTTCCCACTAGGTTTGGGAACCTAGGTACGAAGTAGTTATTGCTCCCCTTCTTTTTATAGTTCTAAGTTTTTCTTATTCTCCTGTTGCTTAGATCTAACTCGGATTTTATTTTTTGCAGTGTCGATCAGGCCAGTTCCCGAACTCACTCAAGCCTCCTTTGACACGCTGAAGTACTACAACGAGCACTTTCCGAAGGGCAGGAAGGTCGGAACCTTGGTGACTGACAAGCTGCTGCTTGAGTCTGGGCTGTTAGATTACAACCCACTAGTTCGTCTCGTCGAAGCGTCGAGGTCGAACTCCGAGCTAGATAAGCTGCACTTTTCTCTTTTATGTTATCTAACTTGTGCTTCTGATCGCTGACCTTTTGTTTCTTATTTTGCAGCCATGGTGTGCGGATTTACAAGCAGTGTGAGGCACAAGTCTAAAGGCCGCGCTCATGCTCTCAAGGCTGTCAATAGCTCGGAGCCTGCAACTCCTGCTGTGGCAGGGCCAGCCTCAGAAGATCCAGCCCCAGCCTCAAGAGATCCAACTCCGGTGATCGAGCTGGACTCGGTTGAGGAGCACTCCAAAAAGAAGCGCCCAAGAGACGAGTCTGAGGCGCTGGACGTATCTCCCCTCAACCAGGTGAGAGATGTATCTCCTCTGAAGAGGATAAAGAAGAAGAAGAAGACTACCTCCTTCTCGGAGGTCGGAGCTGGTGGGACCTTGCCTGCGAGCTTCGCAGACCTGGTGGACGATC